GGCTCACTAATCCAAATTTTTACTGTTTTAGTTTTCCAACATTGCCTAACAACCAACATAATAAGATCTCACACTGATACAAAACGAACCATAAGATACAACGATGTCACATTATTTAAAAAGGAATGCACTCTATTATAGTCCTAGCTCTGCCACTTACTCACCTGATCTCAAGCAGACCACTGAATTAAGTCTGAGGGCCCTTCCAACGCTATAAAACGTGACTTTCCCAAATTTACCAACAAGCCAGTTTTACTGGATTATAATCACTTATAAATAAAATCTGGTGAATGATATTCATTATTATTGAACAGTATTCATTGAGCACCTAACATGTGCCAAACTCTCCGTCATGGAGCTTATATTACTAGTAATAAACATTTAATATCTAAGCGCCCTTTAGAAAGATCTTTCCAGTCATATCCAGCCATAGCACACCTCAACCAAATCATTTATTAATTCTTTCCACTCTATCAAAGATATAAGTATTTTAACATATTGCTATCCTGTCAAGCTAAAATACTGAAGCTATGATTAACATGACCTTAATGTAAGAAATGCAACATTGTGGCAAGAGTGATACTTACTTTTTTTACGATAGCCAGAACATCTTTATCTTTTTCTTGACATAGGAGTTTTCTCACACACATTTCTAACTGCTGAAGTAGATGCTTATCTGTAGGAATCTTCAGGGTAGATTTCACTTTGGGCAACAGGTAGCAAAGTTTCATTCTATAATAAATTACATAGTATTTACTTTTGAATAAATTTAATAACTAAGAATAATAGTAACATGAAACTGAAAGAAAAAAACAAGTTTTAGATAGCCTGAGAGTTCATTTATTCATGTGTTAAATAACAAGTATTTATGGAGTATCTATTACGTATCACGCATTCACTATTCTGGGTGCTGAGATATAACAGTGAATAAAACCAACAAAATGCTCTCTTACATTCTAGTATGATGGTAGGCAAGAGAGGAGAAACAAGTAAAATGTCTGTCGGACAGTGGTAAGTACAATGGAGAAAAATAAAGTATGGAAAAAGACGAGGGAGTATCAGAAGAGGGGGATTAATCAGTTTTGTTTTTTTTCTTTTTTTTTTGAGACAGAGTCTCACTCTGTTGCCCGGGCTAGAGTGCCGTGGCGTCAGCCTAGCTCACAGCAACCTCAAACTCCTGGGCCCAAGCGATCCTACTGCCTCAGCCTCCCGAGTAGCTGGGACTACAGGCATGCGCCACCATGCCCGGCTAATTTTTTCTATATATTTTTAGTTGTCTGATTAATTTCTTTCTATTTTTAGTAGAGACGGGGTCTCGCTCTTGCTCAGGCTGGTTTCGAACTCCTGAGCTCAAACAATCCGCCCGCCTCGGCCTCCCAGAGTGCTAGGATTACAGGCGTGAGCCACCGCGCCCGGCCGGGATTAATCAGTTTTAATGCCAGTGGTCAGAGGTGTCAGTGAAGGTTTCACTGAACAGATAACATTTAAGCAAAAACCTAAAGAAAATTAGGGAATGAGCCAGGTGAGTACCTAGAAAAGAGCTGTAGGGCAGGTAGGGGGAGCCTGCCTCCCACGTTGCCTCAAATTAGCAAACTGGCCATTGTGGCTATAGAACAACAGAGTAAAGGTAAGATTAGCAGGAGACCTCAGAGTGGGAACGAGAGGCCTTGCAGGCCACAGTAAGGAGACTGGCTTTTCTTCTGAGTGCAATGAGAAGCCACTGGAGGGTTTTGAGCAGAGAGGTGTAGTGATCTCACTGAAAACTTTATAAATAACATCTGGCTACTGTGTTGGCTGTAGGTGGTCAATGACAGAAGAAGAGAAACAATAGGGGAGGTCCTTGCAATAATTCAGGCAAGAGATGATGGGGTGGATTGAACCACAGTGACGGCAGTAATGGTGGAGAGAAGTGGTTGGATTCTGAATATATTGTACAAACAGCAGGATGTGCTGAGGGATTAGAGCTGAAGAGACAGAGAGAAAGGACTTATTTAAGGTTTTGACCTAAGTAAGTAGGAAGATGAAATGATTATTTATTGAGATGGAGAAGACTACAGAAGGATCAAAAGCAGATAAGAAAGACCAGGATTTAGTTTTGGACAGATTAAGTCTGAGATGCCTATTAGATATTCAATGGAAGTGCTAAGTAGGCGGCTGGCTCAATGAGTCCGTTGTCCAGGGTAGATGTCTATACTAGCAACACAATGAGGAATCTTCAGCATGTAGATGATATTTAAGCCATGAGATTGGAGGGATCACCAAGGTAATAAGTGCAGTTAGGGAAGAAAAGAGATGAAATAATACAGTCCAGGTCCAGGTACTATCACAGTCTAAATTGGGTTGAAAAGAGCAAGGAGGCTGAATAATGCCAGAGAGGTAAGAGGAAACCCAGCAATCTTAAGAAAACCTTTCCAGGAGGAGGTAGTTCAGAGGAAACGTTCGGCTTTGCTAAACTAAAACTCTACTTCTTTGCCAGGGCTGGTTTTAGAGAAGGATGCTAGGTGATCCTCTGTTTTATAGCTGCTATATTCATTCATTCATCTGAGTGCTCTCCACATTATTATTTTTTGTTTCTATTGCAAACCTTGAGACAACTAAATCCCATTCCTAAATTGTCCAGGACGTTTTCTCAGCTGAACCTTCAGTTGATGATTCTTCATTTCCAGCAAAATTTGCATTTCTATTCAAGTAAAAAAAAAGGGTAAAAAAGCTCCTCCTCTAGAATTTTCAGCACTATAAGTAGCAATAATAGCCTCAATCTCACTCAGAGCTCATCATGGATATTGCTAAGCCTGGTGATGCTTTCTGTAATTAAGGGGTCCCAATTCTCCCAAAGAGAAATTATTTCATTTCTGACAGCTGTGGAGAAGGCTTCTCTGAATACCAATAGTCTTTTTCCAGCCTTTGATATCATCTAAACTCAGTGAATTTAAATTTTTTTTTTTTTTTTTGAGACAGAGTCTCACTCTGTTGCCCGGGCTAGAGTGCCGTGGCGGCGTCAGCCTAGCTCACAGCAACCTCAAACTCCTGGGCTCAAGCAATCCTACTGCCTCAGCCTCCCGAGTAGCTGGGACTACAGGCATGTGCCACCATGCCCAGCTAATTTTTTCTATATATTTTTAGCTGTCCAATTAATTTCTTAATATTTTTGGTAGAGACGGGGTCTCGCTCTTGCTCAGGCTGGTCTCGAACTCCTGAGCTCAAACAATCCACCCGCCTCTGCCTCCCAGAGTGCTAGGATTACAGGCGTGAGCCACCGCGCCCGGCCTTAAATTTTAAACAATCACTTAAGGGCAAACAAAAACACTTAAAGTCTATAGACACCTCATTCTTTATAACCCAAGTCATGTCTAGAAAATATATAGTCAGCAAAAGTTACACAAGCCATAATAGTGATTAATTCTCTATTAGACTCCTGGACCCATGAGATTATAAAATTCTTGAGATTAGGGGCAACTTCTTTCTGGTAAGCTAAATTGCTTATGTACAATATCTCAGGTATTTATACCTCAGAACACCTTATGACTTAGGTACGAAAGAAATCAATACACAGACAGATTTTGTAACTTGCTCAAAGATACATATCTAGCATAGAGCTGGAATTTCAGCTCAAGCAGTGTGGCTCCAGAAACCGTCCTTCTAATCTACATGATCCTACTACCCTTGACTGTGATGGTTTCCATACTGTCTACACAGCTCTATAGCATTGTGTAAAGGCTTTTATACCCCCAAACCAGTTAGCATACAGTGCTGTCAGACCCATTTCTTTGGCTGGCAGCTTCCCAAGCAAAAGAGTGAGAACGAAGACATATTGCTATACAATGATGTATTACCCAAAAAAATCTCCAAAATTTATGGAGTAATATTTAATTAATCTTCTTTTAGTTTTTGAATTGGCAGATTGCTTTCTCTTAGAGTCAGTGGAATACTACTAGTCACATTGACCAGAGTAGAGATGATTTCATTTCCTTCCAAATTATTTTTGTCAACTGCTTGATAAGTGACAATTTATCACATTGGAAGTTGCTTTTCTAGAATCATAACTTCAATTTACAAAATGTTAACAATATAACTGGATTCATTAGTTGGTCAGGAAGAGCTAAAATCTAGAGAATTACCAAGAGGTTCTTATCAATTTACTTTAAATGTCAGGGATATGCCACCTCTCATTTATTAATATAAAGCACAAGTAAGATGCATAAAAAACTAAAGCCAAAACAGTTGTGCTTTCTGTATTTTCTCACATTAAAAATAACAAAACAAAAACCAACCCCTAGATTGTTCCATTAACTAATGCTCATGAAATTCTTATGTTGAACTTTTCGATATCTTTTGACAATTTTTCTTGATAGGTATCTCAACAGCAAGACTATTAACCTAGGCTACCTTATTGCCTCGCCAAGTCTTCCTATTAAAAAATATTATCATGTTTTACATAATGCCTATAAAATTCATGTCAGTTGTTTATAAAAGATGCACATATGCACCTGGTACCCACACCTGACACAGGTTTAAAACTCCTTTAATCCCATTATCAAATGTACAAATAGCTCTTAAGGAATAATATGCACGTACTTAATGCCACTGAACTATACATTTACAAATGGTTACAACGGTAAATTTTATGTTATGTATATTTTATCACAGTATATAAAAAAAGAAATAATATGCCCATTTTGGGAGAAAAAAGAACAAAATATATTTATTCTTTTTTTCAATTTCCAAGCAAGCCATTTTCAGGCCTGTTCCATCCAACTTAACAGTTAACCAAATCCAATTAACATTTATTGGATTTCAAAAATGTAAGGCAGTTGAACACAGAAGACAGGACAAAGACCTCAAACCAGCCCTATTTCTCAGAATAAATGGGCCCCTAAAAATGGACAGATGCTCACCAAGCCAACTCTGAAGTGACAAGGCTGCTGACTATTTTCTCTTGACTTTTAATGATAGACAACTTAATAATGCCTATTCAACCTCTCCTGGTGCCAATATGTGTATCCAAATGGCTGAAGCAGCTTGTTACTCTGACTGCTCTCAATCCAATAAAACAAAAGATCTAAGACAGTGTTGAAAGATTATGCTTCCAAGTCCTATGGATGCTCATCAATTATTAATACCAAGAATTTCAAAGCAAGTGTAAATTCTTCACTCAATTTTTTAATTGACTAAGAAAATGATTTTGCATATATTCACTATATTAGATATATAAGAAATACAATGTTTTCAAATATTTTCTTTGACTGATAACATACCTCACATTTGCTACTGGATCATGTGTCAGTTCAATAGCAGGTAGAAAGAAATATTTACAGAAAAATGACTTGGAAAAGATCTCTATAATAAATTCACAGGTATCCAAAAATCTAAGTCTATTCCAATAACTTTTTCCTTGGCCCAGTTCTAGAAACAACAACAAAAATTATCAAAAGTTAATTTTTCCTATATGAAATTACATGTGACAAAATTAAACACATAAAATCCATAACAAGTTTCTTTATACCCACAATTTGGTTAGCAAATACAAAAGATAAGAGGAAAAGAAATCATATATTCCCCAGATTTGTAGATTCCCAAATTATTGATACCTCAAAAACCAGCAAAAAGTTTTATTAAACATTGCATTCAATTCCATAAGCATTTATTAACCCTTCAATGACTAGATCTACTATTTTTTATCACCCACCATGTGGTAAGTACTTTACACATATTATCTTGTTTAACCCTGAAAAGCAATCCAATATGATATGCATACTTACTCCTCCTAAAAGAAAAGGCTACTGAGATTCAGAGTGGTTAAAGTGGTGGTTAAAGTCACATAGCTGGCAGGTGCAGAGCTAGAATTTAAATGCAAGTCTAACTTCAAAATCTTTTAATAATCAAATTAACTGTTTTTTCCCTCTTGTTTCCTTAAAAATGCTTTGAAGTGGACAGAGTCATATGTAAACAGTACTACTGACAATAACTCAGGTCAATATTTAAAGGTTAATTTTCTTTTTATATAAACGTTCAGAAACAAAACTCAATATTTAAAGCCAAATAGAATCTTATTTCAAAATAAAACGTTCTAAATGTAAGCCCCTGCCACTGAAAAATGAAAATTGCATTAAGATAGACTACAAAAAGAAAAATTAAAGTATACTGACCATAATTTTTCTTAAATGGAATTTTATGAAAGTACTCTAATTTTTTGAAAAGTGGTGATTCATACTTAAAATGGTAAACTCCAATAACCAGAAAATCCCATTACTGCCTATGCTGGATAATAGAGTTTAATAAAAACATTAAGACATTATAGTCAAAGCAAGTATACAATAATTGACAAATTCACTAGGTATATACAGGTATGTGCAATTTTTAGAATTAACACTTTAAGTTTTTGCTTTGATTTTTGCTCTTGACAAATTAAAATCAATTTGCATTTGTAAATTAACTTAGTTTCTTAAGCTATTATAAACTACCAAGGCTCACCAGATTCACATTCATATGTATTATCAATTCTAGTAAAGGAAAAAATCCCGCATTCTGTTAATTATGTTGATGTTAAAAACAGGAACATAAAGCAAAAGATAAGATTCATGGAAATTTTATTTATATTTTAGTTCCAAATGCTATTTCATCAAGGTAGAAACTGGGCTTTCAATGTAAATGTACATTCACCTCACGTTTAATTTCTCAAGTGTAGCAATTCATAGAAGAATGCTCAAAGTAATCATTAATTTCATTCATCACACATCTAATCCTGCCATAAAGATTTCTAAATAACAAAAATTAGCCAACAAAACTGAAATAAAAGCACACAATAGATACTTACCAACATCAGCCTAATTATTCACGACAAAAAGATACATAAACCAGATCTAATAATAATTAAGGCCAACTAGTTTACCTTCTTTTTCTCAAAATGAGAGACAATGATTACTTACGTTCGATTAATTTTTGAATGACCTCATGTCTCTGTTCTTGTTTACGATTGTAACGTAGAAAAATGCATAGAGTTCGTGAAGCTGCCTTTTGGACAGGTAAGACATTCTTAAAGCAAAAAATAAGACAGACAATTAACTAGACTAATATTATTATATATTCTACATAATTTGGCCCCACCAAACCGATTTTAAGCTACTGGCTGAAAATAAGAGGAGTGGTTTACTTCCTCTCAAATCACTGAACTTATATCCTTCTGGAAGTGTCTTCATAATTTAATGTTAATATCACTCAGGCAAATCAACTAATTTATCACATTACAAAGTTAATTTAATTTGGCACAGAATTGTACAAATCATCCAGATTTGATTCACATCATCTTAACTGATATTCTCCTCAAATACACCTCCACCATTCATTCTTTTAAGTCATTCCCTGGACTTTGTCACACATTCATTCAACAAACATTTGCTAGAGCATACCATGTGTCAGGTACATTACCAAAAATGTGCCACTTCTAAAATATAAATTCAGAGATCCATGACAGGATATACTCTTTGATATTTCTGGCTTAATTCTAGTTCTTCAACCTCAGTGTCACTCATTGAGATCTCTGGTCCGTGGTACAGATAAAGCTTAAAATCCAAAGGACACCATGTCCATCACTCTTACCAATATTCCAAACCCTTTTACCCTTCGAGTTTCTTTCACACCACTGAGCAGAACCCTAATTCTAAATGAATGCAACCATTTATCTTTACTAGGTTTGGGTTCAAACCTAGCAGAAATGTAGCAGAAAGAAACCTCTCTACTAGGCATATTATGTCCATTATAAATTCATGTTCACCATCTTGACTTACACACAAATATTATAATATTCAATTACTAAAGATTCAGACCATTATGGCAGGGAGCCTTAAAATTCAAGTAGAATAAAACTTTATATTGCTGAGACAGTATTGCCTGCTATCTCCTCTCATATTTTATTACAAGCTATTTCCGTTCTATTGTGTATAATTAGTGTAATGTTTTTAATCTATTGAATATAAAAAGAGGATATCTTCTATGATTTAGAACATAAAATTTAAGACATATACATAAACAGAAACATGACTGGACTTAAGAAAAATGAAATTTGGATAAATGGTGAACTAAAAAGCATGTTACTCTTTTACTTCATTTTGCATAGACTAATAGAATTTTTCAAATGCCAGTCATATGAAAATACATATATTTTGTACCTCATATATAATACATATTATACTTTATAGTATAAGGTAAGTATTCTCTGGGGCCAGAAATCAAAGATAAATGTAATCAGGTCAAAAGCACACAAAAGCCAGTTTGAAGAAGTTGAAACAATTTGAGCACATAGAATAATGACTGCAATTAATTACAATATCATTTGATATTTTAAAATGAGTCTAAAAGACAGACACACACATACCATCAAAAACAAAATTCATCTGCCATCATTAAAAATGGCTACCACAACAACTCCCAGCTCTGGAAATGGATAATTAGAGGGAAAGAATTAAGAATTCATTCTGTCTTTTACCTTAATTAGGAAATGTAGCTCAGAGTAATTAAATAACCCATGTGGATGAAGGAAAGTACTTCTTTACAGAATACCATCATCAAAAAATGGATAAGCAATGAAGGAATTTTTAAAAATCATTCTTTTGCAAGTGCTAATGAAATAATTGACTCAAGCAAAGATCATCAACAGATGCTAAAACTAATGGGCTGATGGGAAACTGAATATCCAGAGGACTGAAGTATCAGCTGCAGATTACAATGCAGATCACGCGGGAGAAAGCGTAGTTTTGCAGTGGACAAATAGGACTGTCACCGCCTGCATAACCACTCCTAGCTCACTTATGGTAGGACAACTGTCCACACATGATGTAATATAAAATACACAGAGCACTTATGAAGTATTCTTGCCAAAAACATTTAACCAATTCTCAGCAAGCCCTCAAACTTAACTTTTAGTTTACAAGAAACATGGAAAACAGATAAACAAGTTCACACCATGAAGCAATCCATCAAATAAAAGAGTTGGAATATTCTACTGGAAAACTACCTAATCTCTTCCACAATTCAATGACATGAAAAAGTGGGGGCGGGGGGTAGGACAGGGAAATGTTCTAGATTAAAAGACAATGAAGAGATGCAACAGCTAAAGGCAAGGTATAGACCTTAATTGGATCCTATATGGAATAAAACAACTATAACATATATTTGGGGGAAATTGGTAAAATTTATATATGGACTAGATATTAA